CCCCAGCAGTTTTATGAAATAGTTCATCTGGATTTTTTGGGTAACAATTGTATTTGGTTGCAATCAGGGTTTCTTTCAGCTATATCTGCGGTGGGGGGGGGGGGTCAGTGCCGTCCCACGAAAAATCTGAAGTGCCCTCCCCCAACCCCCTCTTGGGAAATTTATGAAATAATCACTGGTTGCAATATACCGGTAATCATAAACAGGCGCTATAAATTTTGGTAATCGGCAAGTGTCAAATAAACATTTGAATTAAAGTATTGAAATCTGTGGGTAATTGTTCATTTTAAGAAAATTTATTGAAATTTCTTTAACATAAAAAAAAAAAGTTTTTGTTTTTCGTTAATACGGGTTTACTATTAGATTAATGTTTTTATAAATAATTTACAAGAATCAACGAAAACGACCGACATACAGTTTGTTGTAGAGGGGGGGGGGGAATGTGTTGTTTTTTTTAAACTACAGAAATACAAATCTTGATGATCAAATTTGTAAATTGCGATAATTTCTTACTGAGATAATCTTTGAAACCTGCCAAACTGTTAAAATGCTACACCAAATAATTTGTATGTGTTTCACTCTATGTTCGACTTTAGAACGGGCTGCTTTGTTCAAGGCCGCCGTGGGGAAACTGCCACCTCGCCATGCATTGGAAGAAGTCAAGGGATCAGGCGGCCCGCGACTATCAACCAAACTTGAAGACTTGAGCTCGGAATTTGAAAGTAAGTTTCTGATATTTACTAATTTGTATTATATTTATACCACCACAGGATTTGAATATTTAATGTACTGAAAAAAAATGTGAGTTTGTAAAGAATATCGTTATTGAATAGTCAACAATGCTCTTACAAATTGTTAAAAACTGTATTTTTTTTTCTTTGTTTTTTGTATTTCTAAACGCACGAATCAAACATCAACACCATGACTGACATGACCCACAGCACAATATCGGGGGGGGGGGAGAGATTTGGGGAGGAGGGGGGGATCGACGTCCCTGCCCTGCTCTTTCCCTTCTTTATTTTCTAAGTCTCTCCCTAATCATAAATGCTCTCTTTGTGTTTCTCTTATAATCCAGACATGCCTCTTGGAGGCCATCGGTCCATACTGCTGCAGATAACAGGACCGTACTTTCATCCCTTTCGACACGGCGTTACAGTTATGGTGAGTCTTTCAGCAAACGTAATGTCACGTGACCGTCAAACAAGTGCGCCACGTGACCTTCTTGTTTGAAACATTCGCATGGAAAAACAAACACACACACACACACCAAATATAACGGTTGTAAACGACTCCACAATGATCAGGTACGTCGTCTTGTACTGAGAAACAATTAATAAAAATTAAATTTACAAAATGAACACAAATATTTACAGATGTATTCAGTCCAGATAGGTTCCGAAGAATGACTGCCATCTCCTCACGGGACGTTTTGGGATGGCGTTCACAGGCCAACTTCTTGATGCAGCACGTAAATCCCTTCCAATGCCCTCATTAGGAGACTATTGTATAGGCCTCTATAGATAAGATAAGAAAAGATTCTTTTATTGATCAAAGCAAATGGAGATGTTTTTTTTTTTAAAATTGCATTGTACATTTTCAGCACAAAAAATTAAACAATTTGAACACAAGACATAAAAACAGCCGTTCAGTGAGTTCTGTTAGCCATATCAGGGACTTGTTAGCTCTCACTTTGACTTTGAGCTGTGTGTCTTATATTCAACTTCCAATGCTCTCATTTTGGAGATTATTATCACATAATCCACTATCAATGTCCGATTTTGAGATTATTGTAACATTAGCCACTTTCAATACTTCGGTTTGAGAATATAGTCATATGATTCATTTTCAGTTTTTTTTCCATAAAATCCACTTTATTGTCTCATAATAACATAGTCTGTCATAAAATCAACTTTCATTGTCTCATAATAACATAGACTTTCATAAAATCCACGTTCCATTGTCTCATAACATAGTCTGTCATAAAATCCACTTTCATTATCTCATAATAAGATAGTCTGTCATAAAAT